GACTAAGGAATGTCAAAAGTGTAAACGTGAAGAAAGGAACCGAAAAGTTTCGGAATTTATACTTTTGTGCAAATTTTGGTTACAGATCTTCATAATAAATGGCCTACAGTCTGATTGTGTAAGGTATATCATGGGTCACGCCAAAGACTTTTGGGTCTAGATGCCGTTAAATTTCGAAATTTGCACTTGTCCTTTTTGAAAACTAGTTTTGGGCAGAAAACTCGTGTAAATGCTTTCTGGTTCCGCCTTGCAATACTCTCATTCTTCGTTTTGCAGCGATTTTCACGTTCTTGCCCACTCAGGTGATTTGGTGAAATTTTCTCGACAAGCAGAGGTCTTTGAATTGCAACTTTTTCAGCAAAAATCTGGTGGATCTTGCTGTAATCGCCGAGAGCACAGCAACGGAACGGATCGAAAACGCGTTTTCGACAGCCACAAGAGAATTCAAAGTGGCGCGATTGTTGAATGTCCGAGGTGGGAATCGTTATATCTTGTCTTTCCCTCGTTTTCTCTTCTCTATTCCTCATAAATGAGTAATAGTCCTAGGAAACTCTTCTGTTCAAAAGGTAGCCTTTAGCCAACCAGCTCTTTCCTGCGACCTGTGCTTCGGCTATTTTCCGCCTTTTGTCGGTCGAGTCCTTCGTTTCCCAACCTGTCGCCCCGTCATCGACAGCTACGTCATCCCAGCGCTACCACCCATTGCGCAGCATTTTCTCAGTGGGGAAATCTCTCCCGACATGTTCGACACCAAACGCGTAGCTCCGATTAAAGTCATCGGGACCGTTGCCCTCAACCCCACGCTCCCAGTCTCATAAACCATCTCGTGTCTGCGCCTCTCGACCCTCTTACGCTCCTCTTAACCTCGTCATGACCTGCAACCGTAATGAAGCGTTCGCTTACATACGAAAGGATCTGCATGATTCGTTTCTGCGTTTTGGCCATTCCCCTCTTTGCATTTGCAAACATTTTGATCGTTTACACTCGTCTCGAAGAAAAACCGAATCGATCGCTCGCACCTGCGTTTTGTGCAAATAAATCGCCTTTTTTTGGACTTCAAGTCAACTTGCAT